CTCTCTCTCTCTCTCTCTCCAACAACAAATGATTATTCCACAAACACTGTAGTACGTTGTCGCAATGATACCGCAAGCGGTGAGAAACCTTGAAGTTTGGACAACAATATCTGGCAACTGTTGCTCAAACCATGAGATGTTGATAGTGGCAAGAAAGTGTTTTTAAATGTTGCTCCAACGACCCTAACGTTGCTCAAACCTTGCAATCCCCTGAGTTTTTTTTTCTTCTGTTGGTCGGCTTCCAACTGTACATTCCTCCACAAGGCAATACACTAAGACCCACATGCTTATTTGGCAATGCGGCGGGAATACAAGGTTTTGGCATGCAAAGTCTCTTATTCCCAGGAGGAGCAGGACCTAGCCAGCCGTTCGCTACAGGGGCAAGGCCCATGTCGGCAGCATCATGAGGCAGATCCCGGGGAAGCACTCTAGGTAAGCAGAGGAGAGTTGAAGGAACTGACAAAGCTCCCAACCCAAAGGAGCGATGACATCAATATCGAAGTCCGATCACTCAGAAGAACAAGAGAATGTTATAGGCACACCGGACACGAAGACAAGAAGAAACCGTGTTGCAGCGACGCTCATTCGGGGTCAACAAAACAGTGTGAAGAGGAAGATTCTTCCTATTCTATGCACGACAGTAAGAGGAAACTTCTTGGTGATAGCGTAGAACGGAATCGATGGAACACCAGAGCTGCACAGCTTCACCTCTCCGGATCAATCGATACCCACGACAGTCGCCACTCTTGTGCAAGGTTTCCTAAGGAACAAGTTCCCCGTCCGACTGATACAAGAAGAACCAACGGGAAGATTCATCCTAGATCTTCCAAGCAACGGGAAGCTGAAATTCTTCACTCCAAGCTTCGATGCAAGACTGCCAGTGGATGAAGCTAAACTTCTGAAGTTGGAATAGGAGGGTCGGGGATTGCTACCAATGGTGTGGTTTGCAGAAGGTCGGCGACAAAATTTGTGCAGAATTCAGGTTCCGACTTTTCACTCGGGCAAGTTTTTGGTGGATTTGGACGGGAAGTTGGCCAATGAATTCGAAATACATCAGGGAGGCTCTCACCTCATCTTGGGAAGTGCAACAGACAAGCACGAGCTCTTCCACTCCTATCCAACAGGGAAACGGGAAATCAAGTCAAAATGGGTAAAATTGCCACTTGGAACCTCAGAGGTCTGGGAGACTCGTCAAGTAGGTCTAAGAAAGCCCGACTTAAGTCGTGGATCCATGAAAATCGAGTACAAGTAGCATGTGTGTAGGAGTCTAAGTTAAATGAGGAACGCATTAGAGAATTGGGATAATGGTGGGATGGGCCCCAAACCTTGTCTCCAGCCCAGGGGTCCAGGGGGGGGGTGGCTATCCTGTTGCACCGGGGCGCTGACTTCGAAATCATAGACTACTTCGCAGACGTTTGGGGACAATGGGCGTGGGTGAAGTTGTGGTTTGATGATGCAGAATGGGTGGCTGCCTCAGTCTACGCGCCAACTAATAGACGAGAGAGAGCGAATTTTTTTGATGATCAGAACATTGTTATCCCAGACTACGCTAACTTAATAGTGACTGGGGACTGGAATGT